TGGTTTATAGTTTTCTGTGTATAATTCTTTCACCTCCTTGGTTAGATTTATTCCCAGATATTTTATTACTTTGGGTGCTATTTTAAAGGGGATTGTTTCTTTACTTTCTTTTTCTATTGATTCATCGTTAGTGTAAAGAAATGCAACTGATTTTTGAACGTTAATTTTGTAACCTGCTACCTTGCTGAATTCTTCAATCAGCTCTAGTAACTTTTGTGTGGACCTTTTAGGGTTTTCTATATATAGTACCATGTCGTCAGCATATAGTGATACTTTTACCTCTTCTTTTCCAATTTAGATCCCTTTTATTTCTTTCTCTTGCCTGATTGCTGTGGCTAGGACTTCCAAGACTATGTTGAATAGGAGTGGTGAGAGTGGGCATCTTTGTCTTGTCCCAGATTTTAGTGGGAAGCTTTTGAGTTTTTCACCGTTGAGTACTATGCTGGCTGTAGGTTTGTCATATATAGCTTTTATTATGTCGAGATATGTTCCCTCTATACCCACTTTGGCAAGAGTTTTTATCATAAATGGGTGTTGAATTTTATCAAATGCTTTTTCTGCATCGATTGAGATGATCATGTGGTTTCTGTCTTTTCTCTTGTTGGTGTGATGTATTACATTGATTGATTTGCGTATGTTGAACCACCCTTGTGTCCCTGGGATGAACCTCACTTGGTCAAGCTAAGATGTATTTCTATCAATAAATCCAGTAAATTTTAATCCTAAGTTTCAAGGGAAACTTTGATTAATATTTAAACTTATTTAAACAATCATATACATCAGTCAATGTCAACTTCACAGATGAAAACATGTGGCTCACTCCAAAGGGCTTGACTAGAAGAGTTCAAATAAGGAACTATTTACGGAAGCGTGGGTAGGGTTAAGGAAACCAAGATGGGCTGGTGGAATTCTTGGGCGATTAGCAGCAGCAGGAAGTGGTTACCACCTTAGGCTGAGGGGCAAGGGGTGGGAAATGGGATATCGTCATGACCTCCCACTCCAAAGACACCTAGTGGCATTGTCCACCTGTAATCTGACTCCCCTGGGAACACAACCTGGTCGCATCTGTCCTGTAGTTAATTCAGAGGCTCCATGGAGACCCAAATAGTCATATGATGAGTGGGTAAAGTTTGTTTGTGGTTTATTGTGAGCACTTTACAAAGGTGCTTCATTCAACCAGATGGCACTGCGTAAGCCTCAGAGTTCCTGTCATATCACAGGGTTGAGTTGGGTGCCTGGTGGCAGTCCCAGGCCTGGGAGCAGGAGAAGCATCAAGCAGAGGTGGTGAGCTGGAGTGGAGCTTTGCCTTGGTCTGTCAGCTGGTATATTAGCTACACTTCTTGTCTTTGAATCACCTGCAAAAGTCATAAAAATGCAAGTTAATATTTATTCTTTCTTATCCTAATTCTGTGTATTGATGGAAGAAGGTGGAGACTTTCAGAGTCTCTCTGGATTATAGGGACAGGGTAGGGCAGCAGGAGAGAGTAGAAACTGACCCAGAGAGGTGATGGGACCTTCTCAAGGATGGACAGAGCAGGGCATGGCCGGAGCTTCAGTCAGAATTGGATCTCTTGCATCTTGGCTTGGGTTCTGTCACCTCCACTCTGCTGATGTTGATAGCCCCAACCGGCCACAGTGGAGTCTAATAAACGCCTCTTTATCCTTTATTCCATGGCTGGTGTGTCACCTATAGATGTGAATCTGAGACTCGACAAACTCCAAGGTCATATCCAGATTAAGACTGTGTTTTTTTTCAGCTTCAGTTAACCTCTGGCTAAAATGGCTTAAGCCACAAGGCCATTGGTCACCGCTCTGCCAGAAACCAGGAGATCCTGCTCCTCAGAACTTTTGATGACTCCCCAGGGTCACTGAGGACCCAAGCTCACGCTTCTGCACTGTCCTTGGGTGTGTTCTCTTTGTGGTGGAAAGACTAAGGCCGCTCCTCTGGTTGGGAGAGTGGAGCAGGTGCTCCTCCCCTTATGTGACTCTCTTACCTGAGGCCCGACCCCAGCCTCAGGCCAAGCCATATAGAAAAGTCTGGTGCAGAGAGAGAAGCACTGTTGGAATCCTGGATGTTTCCAATCCCTTTCCTAAGAGTGGATATTCCAAGCTAGCATTCTGTGTTAGATTTCTGCAGAGAAACAGAACCCAAAGACCACTAGGATATCCACATGTCTATATCTGTCTATAAATAGATAGATAGATTTATTATACAGAATTGGCTTATGTGATTATGGAGGCTGAGAAGTCCCAAAACCTGCAATCAACAAGCTGGAGACCCAGGCAAGCAGTTTGAGTCCGTGTCTGAAGACCCTAGAAGAATGATGTCCCAGCGTGGGGACGGTCAGAGAGAGGAAATTCTCTCTCACTTAGCCTTTTTGTTTTAGTGTGGCCTTCAACAGATCAGATGAGGCCCACCAACATTGGGGAGGGCAATCTGTTTTTCTCAGCCTGCTGATTCAGATGTTAATCTTATACAGAAATAACCACACAGACACACATAGAATAAATGTTTAACCAAATATCTGGGTACCCAATGGCCCTGTCAAATTGACACAAAAAAATCAACCAGCACAGCAGGGAGGGTATAGCTCAGTAGAAGAACACATGCTTAGCACACACAAGGTCCTGGGTTCAATCCCCAGTACCTCCATTTTAAAAATAATAAATTAACTAAAAATAAATAAGTGTAATTACCTCCCCCCACACAAAAAATCAACCAGCACAAATTCCAAATAATTCCAGACATTCTGACCCAAAGTTAGAACTGATGGTGCTTGCTTTCAAGGGAAAAATGTGAAGGGAATCTAGTAATGACTGAGCCTATTCTGGTGAAATTTATGGGAATAAATGTCCAGAGGGGACCCAGATCCAAAACACTGATACTCCGTGGCAGGAATAGGAACCCAGAGCATAACTATACTAGCTGCAAAAAAGATGAGGGGTTGGTGTCTCCTCTGAGCTTATTACGAGTCAAGAGTGGGACCTGATGGGGTCTCCTCTCCTGCCTACGGCAAGTCTCGCCTGTTCCTTGGGTCCCTCCATGCCGCCTTCTCTGGGTTTTACTCTGTCAGTCACACCCTCTGTCTCCTATATCTCCAATGTCTCCCTCTTTACTGGACCCTTACATGCAATATTTAAACATGTTCATGCCTCTTTCTTTAAAAAAGCAAAACCCTGGGGTGAGGGTATAGCTCAGTGGTAGAGCACATACTTAGCATGCATGAGGTCCTGGGTTCAATTCCCAGTATCTCCATTAAGAAAAAAAAAATCTCCTCAGTATTTTCTCCAGCTACTAGTCTTTCTCCCTTTACAGCCAGATTTCTCTGAAGAGTTGTCTGTCCGCATTGCCACCATCCCTCCACCAGCCGCACTCCTCCATCTCCCCATTATGGGTTCCACTCCCGGTATCATAAAAATTGTTTTTGCCAAGATCACCAGTGACTTTCATGTTGCTAAGTCTACTATACACTTTTGAGCCTTCATCTTTCTGTCTCTCAATAGTGTCCTCACAATCCCAAGTCTAGAGAATCGGGTTATATACACCTCCTTTTGTTCACATGGTGATGAACATACCATATAGTAGATTGCTTTGTTGTACCCTTCCTTGTATCCATGCCTTTTGTGATGTGACTTTGCATTTCCTCTGTGTTGCTTCACTGCCATGGGGAAAAGCACCCTGGTTCCAGAAGAATGAGAAATACATGAGCAAAGCTGCTCCAGCTGACCCACTGACCTGTGAGCATGAGTGTGATGATTAATACATACTGTTGTGTGCCACTGAGTTTGGGGGCTGTTTGTTACACAGCATTGTTGTAGCAATAGCAGCCTGATAACACTGTGCCTTCCCCACAAGGCAGTCATGGGCCTCAAAATTGGTCAGTCTAAAAATTATAGCTGTACGGCACTGGCTATCTTGAGATTCTCCTCTTCCTCTATCTTAATAGTAGAAGAAAAATGGAAGTTTCTAGGGAGAAGAAATGTCAGCTTTTGGAATTTTGTGAGGATCTCACATTGCTACATCAGACTTGGGGATCTGGGATCTGTGGGTTTGGACTTCATAGGAGGTGTCTTCAAATATTATCAAAGTTTTTTGGTCCAGGAACCACCACCTAGAACTTAAAGCAACCAAATTTTGTTTCAGTTTTGTACCAGTGAGTATCTACTTTTTTTCTTGGTTGGTATTTATGATTGTAGATTTCAGATGTTCAGTATTTATGGCCATAAATATTAACGCTGTTTCCTATACTTAAAACAGTAGGACTCTTATTATTCAATTCTGAAACTTCTTCCAACAATTGCTACTATTTTCTGAGTTATGTTTCGCTCTGGCACTGGCCCCAAAGTTCCATCAGCAGCAGTGGTTTTAGCTGTATTTCATGGCTAAGTCATCGAAAAAAATTTGCTATCTAAATTATTCCATCTTCGTAATGCCAAGCTAGTGTAGTATCTTATGATCTTTCTCTAATCTGTGTGGCACATCTGTGAAAAAAAATATGAGGGAGAATTGAGCTGGCTCCATAAATAAGTACCCTTTCTATGTATGAACTTGAGTTGTCTGGCTATAAAGGGAAATGCCTCGGCTAGATGAGATTAAATATCACCCTGTGTCAGAGACCATGAGTGCTCATCAATGTCAGTGTTTTCCTCTTCTTCCTGACAGCTCAATAATATACCCCAGCCTCAGCTGTAGTAAGAAGCCACACAAACTTTATGATGGGGTTACCCTCATGCCCTCTTCCATTTGGGTATTCTCCTTCTAGAACAAATACCGAGAGCATGGCGCTAGGTGAGCCAGTCACAGTTACCCCCAAAGCTTCACAGGGGATTTCTGTCCATGCCTGGAACCATTCATCCATTTCCCAGTGTACTCCTACAGGCTCCCAACTTCTCCAGAATGCTGTGCAGAGGAGCAGCATGACCTCCATGCCAAAGGACACCTGATGGCATTGTCCACCTGTAATCTGACTCTCCTGAGAATACTATCTGGTTGTATCCATCCTATAGTTAATTTGGAGCCTTCACTGAGCCCCAGGTAGCCAGGTGATGAGTGGGTAGAGCTTGTTTGCAGTTTATTGTGAGCACTTCATAAAGGTGCTTTGTTCAACCAGATGGCACTGCGTAAGCCTCAGAGTTCCTGTAATATCACAGGGATAGGTTGGGTACCTGGTGGCAATTCTGTGAGGTCCCAAGTCTCTAGCAGCAGAAATATCAAACAGAGATAGTGAGCTGGAGTGGAGCTTTGCCATGGTCTTCCGATTTCAGCATAGAGATCAAGGAGCTTCTGACTACCTTCCTTTGTCTGTAACATTACCAAATCAGGGTTCAGCTGTCCCACTATTCAGTGTTTTATATACCTTAGCTTAGCTTATACACATATCCTCAAGACCGTAAGCTCCTGGCATTCAGGCACTTATAAGAAAGCTGCTGGAGTCTAGCCAAGCTGTCCACATACCAAGCAGCAGGAAGGAGATATACTGAGTATCTGTTGGGAATTGATATCTTCTGCAAGAAACAGAGACTCCCGAAAGTGTGGCTTAAACAAATGAAAAGTTTTATTTATCTTGTATAACAAGAAGCCCAGAAAATAATTCAGAACTGAGACGGCAGCTTTACACCACCAGTGGCCCCAGTTCCTCCAGCATCCCACTCTGCTGTTTCTAGGGCGAGGCTTCATCCTCTTGCTCACACAATAGCTGCTAAGGTTGGAGCCATCAACTCCACATTCTTGGGATTTGGAGAGAAACGACAAGTACACAAAGCTGAGACTGCCCATTGTTTGCCCCTTCTTAATAAGCCAGTGAATTTCACTGACATCCCATTGACCAGAATTGTGCCACAGAATCACTCCTAGCTTTAAGATAGACAGTTCAGCTGAACTTATTAACATCCTGAATAAAACTGAGATTCTGCTATGAAGAAAGGGCGAATGGATATTGGAAAGCACCCCGCAGTCCCTGTCACACTCAGAGAAGACTGCCACCCGGACTTGGATATGCACCCAACACCCAAGAAGAGGGACGTGCATTAATTCCCCTAATGGAAGATACCTACTTACAGCCCAAGGCAGGGCTTGAATTTGAACCCTTTAGTGAACCTCACCCTTTTTCTATGAAACCAATTATGTAAATTTTTTTGCTTAACAGCTGTCACAGACTGGGTTTGTACTGCCTACCTGTGGAAGCTCCCAGCTGACTAATGTAAAAAGTGATTCAGAACAGGTGGGTTGGGTATGACTCCAAAAGAGGCAGCTGTAGAAAGGTAGCATAATATGACCTTTTCATAACCCAGGATAGTAATGGGGATCCTACAAGAAGGAATGCCCAAAGAGATACTCTCCCAAAGATAGACTTATCCATTGTAAAGTGTATAAAGAAACCCAACACAATAAGAAATAGTTAGAAAATGCAGCAAATAGTGAACTAGAAATAATAAGATAATTTGGAATAGACTTTACAATGAGTGTGTCTGCATTTTTCAAAGAGAATAAAGAAGAAATTGAATCCTTAAAACAAAGCCAAAATATTATGGGAAAAAACAACATGCAGATTTCAAAAAGATTCAAATAGAAAGTCTATAAATGGGATAAAGCAGTAAAATGAAAATTAGTGGACAGTTTATAAACTATTTGGACTTAGGTGAAAAGAGATTCCATGAACTGAAAGATAGATCTTAAGAAATTCCCCAGAATGCTACAGAGAGAGTTAAAGAACTTGGAAAAAAAGAAAAAGAAAAAAGAAGAATAGATTAAGAAACATGAAGGTTAAATGAGAAAGTCCAGAAGAAATCTAATGGGCTTTCTATTAGAAAAGAATGGCAATCATGGAGAGTTACAATATTCAAAGAGTTAATGGCTAAGAATTAAAGAAATGAGTAGGCATCCACAGTTTGAAAAGCACACACCAACTTCTGAGCAGGATAAATAAAAACAAATCAACAGATTGTGACAAAACTGCAGAAGAACAAGGATTAAAATGGAAAGCTTAAAGCTATCAGAAAAAGAGGCAAATACTAATAGATTTCTAACAAGGAGAGGATACCCAAATTGGCAGCAGCCTGTTTATTAGCAACAATAGACATCAGAAGACATTACAATTATATCTTGGAGACCAAGTAGTGCTGTGGGAAAAAACTGTCAATTTAGACTCTTACAGCCAACTTCAAGGGTGAGGCAAAATAGACATTTTCAGACTTACAAAGTATAAATGGGGTTTTTCAACCCCTGGGTTCCCTCTAAAATATCTATTAAAGGATGTGCTTGAGTGAAGGAGATAACCCAGAAGAAAGTTAGTGGGATGCAATGAGAAATAGTAAGATTAGAAATCAATAAAAACAAACTGTGTCTAAATAGTCATTGATTATAAATAATGACAATATGTATGTGCCTAAAAACTTAAACCTGAAATATGCAAATATTTGTAAATTTAAGTATTAGAAAACAAGAGCATAAAAAATGGAGAGGGAAAGCTTGGAATTTGGTTTAAAAATAAAGATGCTAAGATTCTTATCTTGCTCAGAAGGAGGAGAAATATTCTGATCAACATTAGATATTTATGGAAAAAATAAAGATAAGCACATATGTTAAGAAGGTAATAATTTAAAATACCCACATAAAAGCATATCTCCCAAACAAATAAAGAAGGGAGGAGAGGGAAAAGGAAAATTACTGACTCCAACAAAAGCAGGAAAGCAGAAGGAAGGAGGGGAGGTAAAAAGCATGAGCATCAGAAAATTCTAAATACGATGTTGGATATACACATCCAATCATATTAAAATCATGACAAATATGACTAAAGTCATGTATAAAAGACAGCCTATCAGTTTGGATTATTAAAATGAGCTGTATGATCCTTGTAAGGCACACCCAAAAACAAAACAAAAAGGACACAGGAAGTTTAAACATGAAAGGGTGGAAGAATGTTTACTAGGCAAATAGCTAACTGAAATACAGCTGGTAGAACAACACTAAAATCAGACAAAATAAAATTTTAGACAACGAATATTAACAGGGATAAAGAGTAACATTTTGTAACAATAAAAGGAACACTCTTACAAGAATAGATAGCAATCAGGAATTCCTCCATCTCCTTATAATAGAAACTTAAAAAACGTGCGGGGAGGGTATAGCTTAAATGGTAGAGAACATTATTAGCATACACAAGGTCCTGGGTTCGATCCCCAGTACCTCCTTCCTCTAAATAATAATAAACCTAGTTACCTCCCTCTGCCAAAATAAAAAATAAATAATACAAAAATAGATAAAAATTACATATATAATTATAAGAAGAAATTAACAAGTGTCCAGTTATAATTGGAGATTTTAACATAAACAGCTCAAGTAGACAAAATTAAATTCTAGTGAGGATTTACTAGAGTTGAACAACCCAGTTCACAGCTTCAATCAAATGTGTGTTTGTGTGTACATACACGGACATATATACACACACAGACATATATGTACCCCAAAGGTAGAGAATATGCA